ACAGGATATGTAATGTTAACAATAATACATATTATCGACAAAGATGGATTTATGGGTTCAATTTTTAAGATTTTTAGGGTTGAATTCATTATAATATTAAAATTATGGATTCAGTTTTAATATTTGTTAAATTTTTAATAGTAATAGTTTTTACATGTATATATAGTTATATGAATCGAAAGTTATAAATTTAGATAAACCCACACATCCACCCCTATAAAAATTATTTTACACTAAGTATGAACAATATATTTTTTAAAATTCTCATCATTATTCATCTTCTTCTAATTCTTGGGTTAGCACTTAAAATATAAAATATAGATTAATAAAAAAGTTTTAAATTGGGTAAACGTTTGAAACCCAAAACTTTGGTTTTAAATACAAGCTATAATATATATATCTTGTTTATGTTAAATTTATTTTTCAGAATCAATGGAGAGAAATGTTCCCATCGATGATTTCAAAGGCAGCAACAGTAGACGTGATCTGCAATGGTACTGAAGGTGCTAACAGCTGGGATGGCGCAGTTCAGCTAGTAAGTAACCGTATTTTTTTTATTATGACTATATATATGGAGTATATGTCAAATAAAAAAATATCTTCTTAAAAAATAATTGGACGAATTATGATTTTATCTAAAACAATATTTCAAATTTTTTCTCTGAAATTCAAAATTTTGAAACCGTTTCGTTTATGGAAGGAAGATAATAAAGGATTTTGTCAGTTAGTTCTTAAATGACATATATATTTTTTTGGGGGGTAAAGATGTTTGCAGAGGTGCAGATGTTAACGCCAGTAGTGGGGACGAGAGAAGTGTATTTTGTGAGATATTGCAAACAAATGAGTGCAGCACAGTGGGGGATTGTGGACGTTTCTGTCGACAAAGTTGAAGGCAGCATTGATGCTTCTCTCCTCAAATGCAGAAAATTACCCTCAGGATGCATTCTACAAGAACAATCCAATGCACATTGCAAGGTCTCTTTCTTTCTAAACCCTAATTATATTATATATATATTCTCCCTCCGTCCAAAAATAATTGTCGTTTTAGCAAATAATATTTGTCCTGAAATAAGTATAGCTTTAGAAATTCAAAACAAAAGTAATACATACTTATTTTTGACTATATTCTTATATTAAAAAACTTTTTTTCCCTTATCAATTCTCAAGAAATGCAATACTAGTATAGTAGTGCAGTGGCATCGACTTCGTATCTTAAGTTGGTGATTTTCACAACTTATATATTCTCATGTTACACCGAGATGATTTTTTTATTATTATTATTTTATGTGTTTAGTTTGATTAAGCATGAAGCGTATACAAATAAAGAAAAAAAATTGAGTTTTGTAATTATAAAAATCCAAATATCTTTAAATCTTGTAGTCTTAATTCTTAAACATGTCACATGAGATAATGAAATTAAATATAAAAAAGTGAAATGAAAAAAAATATACACATTAAATTATACTAACAGATGTATTATACTTCGTGGTTGAAGTATATTCTAGATTTTCTGTACACAATGATCTAAAGTTCTTATGGACATGCTAAATTCTAAAGAATTCCTGAAAGCACTGCAGGTAATTCGCTGAAACTTTAATGTAACCATTTTGGCAGATTGGATGAACACAAAACATTAATGAAATAGCCCCCAAAAAAATGAGAAAATAGTTGGGCTGTGCTATGCATAAATATAACAATAAGGACAGTGTAGAATGTAGATGCTAATATTAATTTATGGTATTTTAACATGTTATAAGGATGACTGCTATTACGATCTAGTTATTATTTTTTACACTATCAACGTATAGAAGTTGAACGTTGTCATGTTCAGGTGACGTGGGTGGAACACTTGGAGTGCCAAAAAAGCATAGTAGACTCTCTGTACCGTGTAACTGTCAACAGCGGCCAAGCTTTTGGCGCAAGGCGCTGGATGGCTACTCTTCAGCAACAATGTGAGCGCCTCCTCTTCTTCATGGCAACCAACATTCCTACCAAGGACACTACTGGTAATTTATCAACACACTTTTCTTTTCCACGCGATAGAATATTAGCTCGATTTTCATGACGAACTTTGGAAACTGTGTAAACAAATCAGGTGTTGCCACGCTTGCTGGTAGAAAAAGTATACTAACATTGGCACAAAGAATGACTTGGGGTTTCTACCGCGTACTTGGAGCCTCTAGTTATAATACATGGAACAAGGTCCCTAGCAAAACTGGCCAAGAGGATATTAGGATGACCTCTAGGAGGAACTTAACTGATCCTGGTGAACCCCAAGGCCTTATTCTCTGTGCTGTTTCTTCCATTTGGTTGCCTGTCTCTCGCAACGTCCTATTTGATTTCTTGAAAGATGAAAACCATCGCCATGAGGTTAGTAACTTCGTTTAGCTCTTTAATTACATATTTAGTTCTACCATCTGAGATACCTTTGAGATTTTGACATTCTTAATGTCTTCTTATCGAAGTGGGATGTCATGTCAAATGGAGGCCCAGTGCAATCCGTTGCAAATTTAGCAAAAGGTCAAGACAAAGGAAATGCAGTCTCTATCCAAGTAAGTACCTCTCAGAGAAGACGTTTTGGTTTACCCCTCAATCCTTCTTTCTAATTGAATGGTTGGAACTGTGAATTCTATTCAGGCAGTGAAATTAAGAGAAAACAACATGTGGATCCTCCAAGATACTTGCACCAATGCTTATGAATCCGCAGTGGTCTATGCCCCAGCGGACATTGCAGGCATGCAATCTGTTATAACAGGTTGTGACTCGAGCAATATTGCTGTGTTACCTTCAGGATTCTCAATCCTTCCTGATGGCCTAGAGTCGAGGCCTTTTGTTATCACTTCTAGACCAGAGGACAGAAGTTCAGAAGGAGGATCCTTGCTAACAGTTGCTTTTCAGATTCTAACTAGCAATTCTCCAACAACAAAACTTTCAAAGGAGTCTGTTGAATCCATCAACAACCTTTTGTCGTGTACGTTGCACAAGATCAAGACAAGGTTCCAATGTGACAATGGATATTAGTTCTTCTAGGTAGAGAGATGCTAATTTCATTATACAGATAGTATAGTTCTCCTCCATCCTTTTCATCTAAATAGACTGATGAAAAGGATTCAGGAACAATGCGTTCTTACCCCGTTATTGTAATTCCCCTCTCATCCAGATAGTAAAGGAAACTTGTTCAAACACAAAAGTTTACATACTATAAGAATTTCCATCATCTCATGTGTAATTTTCTTTCCTTCTCTTCTTCATGCTTTATGTTCTATGTGCAGTGAATTTAAAGATTAACATTAACACATCCCCCCTCCCCCCCACCCCCTCCTTTTTTCGTAATGGCTTAGAATCAACCAACAATAACATACCCAATGCAATACCACTAGTGGGGTCTAGGGAGGGTAGGATGTATGAAGACCTTACCCTTACCTTTGTGGGGTAGAGAGGCTCCGCTTAGAATCAGCCAAGCTATATTAAACTGAATATAAGAAACGAAGAGCACCTACAACATTTTGCCAAATAAAGCATATAGAGAAAGTATTAAAACGTCAACAAATTATATACAAACTTTTATGCTAAATCAGGCAGTGAAGCTACAAGGTGGACAAAAAGGGACAGATTTACCCATTTTTAAACATCATATGTAATTCAAAATATGGAATACCAGGTTCGCGCTTTAAAACTGGACCCAAAACAGGATTTCTGAGGTGCATTCTTAAGGAATGGTTTATTTTCATCATTAGAGTTCAGGGCTTTCAAATAAATCTCAGGCATGTCAAGTTCTTTTGCAAAGAAGATGTTAAGTACACATGAGTAAGTTAAGCTTCATCGAATGTTTGTTGCCTCTTAAATGATATATGCAGATAGTGTGTATTATGTATCCTTATCCAGGTTCAGAATATGAGAGTCAAATGATGATATGCCCATTGATGCAGCTTCCTCTTTCGCCTGTTGCTAAGGCATTGACGGTGAAAAGAGGAAAAAAATTATTTCTCTCACGGGTGCAAAGATGAACAGCATTTACGCATATGAATCTGATAAAAGATCTAGCTAAAGTAGAAAGCTTCTTGACTGTGCTAGAGCAAAAACTTGATCAAAATATCCTGATCTACATAAATCAATCATTATGATAAATTGTTGCCTAGAGCATATTGCCTTTAATGATCATAGCCTAATCCTTCTATCCAAGAGCTGAAAAATTAATGTTTGATAGATAATTATACTCAAGCAAAACACATAGCATACCATTAATACAGTTTTCTTCGCAAAACAAAGACAATTATTCAATGCCAGTCTCTCCGCCAAGAAAAAGGCAACCACCTAATCTATGAATAATATTTCCAATTACAAGAAGAAAATATGAAAGTGTTATCATAGGTTTCATATGGTTCATTCTTGCAGTCAGGGAAAAATCAAAAGGAGAATGCAACCTTCAGAAGACACATTTTCAGATAATTATCACTAATATTATCTCTTAGTGGCAACTGGCATGATATGTGTTAACAACGTTGGTCAAGAAATTCATTGGTTGTACATTTTTATAGTTCCAAATCCCAATCAATACAGAAGCAAAAATGGCATTGCAAGACAACAGATCGAAGTTGAACTTCTGTTATAACTAAAACTGGACTAGTACATGGCCATCAAGTTCTGAAATTCTTGCACCATCATAAAATCACTAATTTCCTCAATTGATCTTGTTCATTAATCCACATGAATCACAAGAATTATGCATTTAACTATTTAGTTAGAACTCCAATACACTGCCCGTAAAATGAAGAAGCAAAATACTAAAGTTTCCAAAGTGAAGCTAATTCAAAGTTTTTGTCTTTGCAGATTAACAATCTCTGTAGTTTAAAATCCGAAATGAACACTTCAGCTACATTAATAACTCACTACAATACGGTTCAATTCCGGGTCAGGTCTAATGAAGTCGAAATTCGGGGTTCACAGATAAAGAGGATAAAATCAGCAACAATTACAAAAGCATCACCACAATTGAAATCTAATAAACTCATTATCATCTAAAAATCACTCAATTAAAATACATGATTATCATGAAAACACAACAGTCAAACAAAAAGAAACTGAACAGTACAAGATTATAAAGTGCCCAAAAGAAAGCTCTCACTCTAACTCGTCTGCAGAGATTCAAGCGGAAGCCCAAGTTCCTGATTCTCTTCCTCCTTAACCTTGGGCTGGTTCCTCGGAGGTACAGGTACAGCAACGAAGGTCTTGGTCTTACTAATGGGCCTACTCTTTTCAAGCTGAACATAATCCCCAACTTGAAATTGGTTCAATGGGTCATGAGCTTGGTACTTCTTCTTCTTCCTAACCCTACGTTTGTACTTTGGGTGAGGAGCAAGACGAGTAACTTCAACAGAAACTGTTTTGTCGTTTGTGGAGCAGACGACTCGGCCTTGCATTGATCTCATGGCTCGAATTGGAGGCAAGAAAGCAGGGGGAGAAGGTTTTTGGGAAGTGATAGAGGAAGAGGGTGTGGAGAGACGAGAAAGAGAAGAGGAGCCATGGAGAAAAGGGGTGGAAATGGTGAGGGATTTGAATTGAGAGAGGAGAGGAGAAGTTACAGACATTGTGTGAGGATAACACAAAAGAGATGAGGGAAAGAGGAAGGATATAGATATACCCTTCTTCTTGTTATCTTTTTTTTTTTTTAATTGCCTTTAAAACTTTAGGTTAATTACATTTGATACCCCTATAGTATGATTTTATTTCAAATACATCCTCTATATTATAAGATCAAACACCTGCACCCCTCACATATTATGAAAATCTCATGCTTATATTTTCTTATTTTAACAACTATTTAATGACATCATCTCCATTTTATTTTTATTGGATTTCACTTAACATATCATTTTGAAGAAAAGTCAAATGAAAATAAGTACTAAAGTGACTTTAATGAATACAATTTGATAAACATAATAAAGTCTTCTGATTTTTTAAATTTTGTGTTTGATCAAATAGTGTCACGTAAATTGAGACGAGGAGTGCAGCTATTAAAAAGACCAATTTGGAGATGTAGCTACATTGAGGAGAGGGGTTCCAATTGTCATATTTAAACTGTTGTAGAAATCCCTTTTTATAAGGTTTTCTTTTATGTTGTTACATTTGAACTATTGAATTTTCTTGGTATAAGATTTCCTTTTTTTGTTTTGTTATATTTAAATTGTTGAACTTAATTCCTATAACCAAGTTTACTTCCAAATGTGGTGGATCGTATGACATATATGAAGTCTATTCAAGTGATGTTTATAAGCATATTGATGTAGAGAGTATGTGAGTCGATCCACTCAGTAAGCTTGCTAAGTATTCGACAAGACTCTAGTCAGTAGTCTCTATACAACTTGTTGAATTTCTTTGTACAAGGAAAATTCTACTAAAGCAGTAAAGGGAGCTCAAAATCATTTTATATTAACAAAAAACAAACAAACAAATTTTATAAGTAGGGTTTGGAAAAGGTAAAACAAATCTTTTATTTATTGGGGAATAATCAAGTCTCAAGAGCCTGAAATCGTTGTCCATCACGTCTCAAGATATCGAGTGAAATTTTAGTAAGAGCGAATTTTTTGAGTTTCCTATCATAGCATACTTTTGTCTGAGACATATTTCAGTTATAGAGAAACATGAATATATATAGCTTATTAATGCTTAATTTGTTTCTAACCCTGTATTTTCTTAATTTAAATTCCGTATCTAGTCAAACACCATCACATCAATTATCTCTTTAATAGGAATAACTTACTGAACTTTTTTATAAAAAAAATCACAAGGGATAGGCTTATCCAGTCTATGACACGTGTCCCCATACGAGTGGAATTTTAATCTCTAGAAAGATACCCAATTTGCCATATGTCCTGTTTGGATCCACCCAAAAAGATCAAAAACCGAAACGTCTCGACATTTGTGCCAATTGCCAGCCCAAAATTTGAATTCTGAAGGTAGTAGTTTTGTTAGTTTGTTGAAGTGAAGAAGAATGGCATCTTTGGCAACCCTTGCTGCAGTGCAGCCAACTACCAACATTAAGGGCCTAGCTGGAAGTTCAATCACTGGAACTAAGCTTCATCTCAAATCATCTCGTCTCAATTTTAACCGCACTAAATCCAGGTAAATTAAGTAATGCCTTCTATACTTTTTTTGTGATTTCCAACAGATAATTACACTTTAATTTATTTAATTATATCTTCAATACGTATACTCGCGTGGCGGTCTAGCTCTTTTTCCTAAGCCGAAAATAGTAGCATTTGATAGTGGATGACGGTGTGAGTTGAACTTACTAGAGGCGGAGCCAGGATTTTTAGTTTATGAGTTTTGAACCACAATCTTTTTCGCTTATTCGTAGCTTTAAAGCTGGTTCCATCCTCACTTCTTCTAAAAGCTTAAGCCATTAGTGAAAAACATAAGTTTTAATGAAGAGAGAAAGGTTCAAATATGTTATCAAACTATTAGAAATGACACATCGTTAAAAGTTTGTCTCATTTATGTCATCGCATTACAAAAAAGAAAAACCTTTCCCTTCAAGAAAACTTTTTCAAAGTAAAACACACTCATGGTAGAATCTAGATAAAGTAAGACATTCAGAGTGAATCTCTTTGTTAGTTATGTTGGTTGGCAGTTCAATTTAGTTGATTTAACAAAAGAAGAAGTTAAAAAAGATTTAAGTTACTCTGTTCATATAGGCACTGAAAAGGGGGTTGAAATGATACTGGATGTATTTATTGCCTATAAGCATAAATTGTGATGAGACTAATTACATGTTTGTATAATAGGGCTGGTTCTGTAGTTGCCAAATATGGTGACAAGAGTGTATACTTTGATTTGGAGGATTTGGGCAACACAACTGGCCAGTGGGACTTGTATGGATCAGATGCACCTTCACCATACAACTCTCTTCAGGTACTTTATTTTCGTCTGTATCGTTGATGAATAAATCATGTAGTTCAATGGAATTTGATCTGTTTTGTAAGTTTGTTGTATCGGTGTTTGGTACTTCAGTTAACATTTTACATGACCTGTTTGGAAAAGCAATTGGAGTGCAATAGTATAACATACTAATATCAACGTTTTCCATAACCTTTGGGAATAGTACACTTCAAAATTATGATCTTATGAATGTGAAACTATCTAGTGTACTGTTCTACTGATGCTGCAAATGCCTGAGTAGTAACTGTGTTGCCTGTTGTTTTGTGTTTTGTAGAGCAAGTTCTTTGAGACATTTGCTGCTCCATTCACCAAGAGAGGTCTGTTGCTCAAATTCTTGATATTGGGAGGTGGCTCTACCCTCGCCTACTTCAGTTCCACAGCATCAGGGGATATCCTACCAATCAAGAAAGGCCCGCAACTTCCACCTAAGCTTGGGCCACGTGGCAAGATCTAATTGCTTTTCGACCCAATTCTCAACTTTCAATTTGTAATTGATGTATGTGCTCCCAGTTTGTGTAAGTATAATTGAAGACTTTCCATTACTACAATTTTATATCTTATGGTGAATTTGTAGCATTTGCTTTCTTAGTTGATTTATGGCTCAATTAACTATTATTTGTTTATATGTTCTCACCTATACTTTCTTTAGTTGAATTAAAGGGAATTATGATAATAGTTTAATTTGAAGGGGAAATGAGGGAGGGGATTACAAGATGGGGAATTGAACCTTACCAACAAGGTGGAAAGTTCATGTAGTCAACCAACTGAGCTACTAAACTGCAAACCAGATAGACTTATAAACTTATAAACTACAGATCATATATATTAATAGATCTGAAAACCAGAGGTTATTGAAGATAAAAGGTCAGCAATTCTCATTGTTGTTCAACAACAAAGTGACAACGTGTACTGAGTAAACGGTTTCAAGAACTGCCACAGACCCATTAGGTCTACTAACTTATCCCTACTTACAAAAGGAATGACTTTAGTGAAATCCTAGATTGGTTTGATTCATCTCGATATGTACACTTGACGCCGAGCTTTCTTAATCTGATGAAACTCTGTCCATCAGTCCTTGCCTCTGATGATTCAATCAGTATATTCTGCTGTGAAGTCATTTAGTGGCGTGCTGTTGGACTTCTGGAACCAGTTAAATTCTCTAGGTAAGAAACTCTCTTGTTAGTAACTATATTTGGAGGTTTGCTTAGGAGCTTTGCATCATTTTCTTTTAATCGGATTTCTTCCTTCGTATCTTTCTCCGTGTCTTCATCTCCTTCTCCCCAACCCATGAAATCCAGCAGTGTCATTGAATTGGGTGTTTCTGCAGAACAAAGCTTCTCTACTTCTTCCTTATCATTAAATGTTCCATCTGATACTCCCAACGAATCTCCCATTGGAAACCTCTTTACTTCTCCATTTGAAGGATCATGGGCCAGATCATCTGCCTGCATTACATCTTCAATTCGTGACATGACTGTGAATGCCCTACTTTCAATTATTCTTGAATAGCTTTCTAAAATGGCTTGCCCGATATCCTGTAAGATAAAAAAGATAATATGTTATAATCTTTTGAAGTCCAAGAACTGGATTTTCTTTAAGGTTGAATCCTTCCATAAAGTCGTTACGTAATCATAGAAGAAACAATGAGCAATGTTGAGAACCAAGAAAAAGCAGATGGATGTTCTGAAGCATTTTGTAAATTTACATCAGTAAAATGGAAAGATAATCAACACGGGGCCTTCTTACTCTGTTGTACTGAATTTTGCTTATGTCTAGTGATGATTGAGGAATTCCAGGGAACCGATGCTTAAGAATAAGAAGGATAGTTTCTGCTCTGTCTTCAAATAATTCTCTTTTCTCCATACTAACGGCTGAACTCCAGGCTGACTTCCCATCTTTTGCAGTCATCTTTCTTCTCCAAATAATTACGGAAGCCTCAATCTTGTTCTTGAGGTCTAGAATTTTATGTTCGGAGGACAAGTCCATAGTTGAAAGGAAGTAGTCCGGATCAAAGTATTCATCCGTGATGCTCCTGTATATCGAGTCTCCAAGGCTCGCTCTCCCATTCTGAACACACACACACACAAAAGAGTAGATATTAAATCAAGATCATAAGCTTCCGGTTAGCTAAACTGATGAGATTCTAGATTTCAAAACTTTCTTGTACCTTGGGTAAGGATTCTATATAGTTTTCAGGAACCTCCATCTCTGTAAGAACTTGAGCATTTATGGCGAGGGCTGCTTTATGAACTTGGTTCACCGAATCTTTCTGAAATTGTAGCCATTTCCTAGTAGTATCCGACAAACCATTAGGAGGAACCTTAGGGGTAGGTATCCACCATTTATCATCTTTCCTGGCGGTTTTACCTTCATCATCTTTGGATGTATAACAGATTTCAGTTTGGTCTTTAAAACTATCTAAACAATCCTGTTTGTTGTAAAACCAAACATAAGCATAACTAAGCGTAAACTACATTATTTAAAATGATATAAGCTAACCAAAAAAAGAGAAATGAAAAGTAATGCAAAGAAAGAAAAGAAGTTTTCTCCCTACCAGAAGCATTGTATCTAGCTTACGCAATGCTGGAATGTTCATTTGAAGATCAGTTCTCTGCTTTGTCACCATAATCTGAAAAGGTAAGCATTTGATGCTCTTGTTAGTTTGTTCATAATATAAATGACTGGTGTGAAGAGGAATTTTCGAGGAGAGACAGATGTATGTATACCTCCATAATTGTTCCGTCTTTTGATTTTTGTTTAGAAGCAACAAATTCAACAATATAATCTGTAACAGATAAAAGCCAATCAATTTCTTTTCTCCACTTGGCTTTTGTCTCTAGTTGCATGGGTTCTAATCTCTTCTGTTCCCCAAACGCCGAAGCTGTGTTTTGTGAAAAGAAACAAAACATCAGAAGAAAAACAAAGGTAAACAATGAAACCTTCAAATGATCTCTGTAGAAAAAATTCAGATACCTGCAAGGTTTGTAATTGCATTTGACAGCGCCAATGCTGATGAAACACCCTTTCCTCCGCCAGACATATCCTCACCAAGGAGCAACTTGGCAAATTTTTCCTTCATCATGTCCATATCTGAGTAGGAATTACAAGAGGATGTTCGTCAAAAATATGGCCAGACCAACAAAAAAAAAAAGAGACTAAAAACAACAAATTTTGATAATAGAAATACATTCAAAATCATTTCAGCCAAAAAAATAAAAAACAGAACACCAATAAACCCCAAATCTGGCAATATATTGTGGCATGTCTTTATATCCTTGCAAGCAGAGGTGGACCTAAGGGGAGCAAGGGGTCTATCTGAACCTCCTTCACTAAAAAATTACATTGTATATACAACGTAAAATTCTTTTTTTTCATATAACATATGTTGAATTTCCTAGGCTTCTTAGTGTGTTTGTTTCTTTATACTTTGAATCATCCTAGTGACAATTCTGACTCTGTAATTACCGGCAAAAATTGTAGAATGCACATAAAGGAGGGGCATAGGGCGGGAAGAAACAAAAGCAAAAATCTAGGAACAGAACAATTCTTTTTGCCATGGATTGATAAATTGAAATATTTTTGCCAATTTCCAAAATTTCAATCCTCTAAACTTTTTTTTCTTCAAGTTGAAGCCTAAAAGGGGACAAACGATATTATACAAATTCATTTTCAAAAGAAAAGAAGATAATGACTTGCCTGAAGGCGAGCTGTTCTCTTTGGCGATAGCAGAGGCTGAATCGTCTGCTTTATTAATATTACGTGCCTTGATGGTCTCTTTACGGGTAAGTTTCCACCCATTAATATTTTGAGATTCAACAGCAGAAACCTCTAATTTCTCTTCCTCTACTGCTCGAACCATATTTTCTGATTCAAGCAAAATAAATAATTAATATAATGTGTATTACACGACGAACTTCGAGACCATAAAACAGGAAATATGATATGGAGATGATGAACAAAATGGAATTTTTTTAGAGAAGGAAAAAGGGGTTCAGCAGGCGCATACGGGAAGAAAAAAAGAAACACAAGTTTTTTTTGTTGATGGAGAATGAAGAGGAGTCTTTGATGTTAGGCTCTCTGTTTTTGTGAATGGTTGAGAAAACGTGGGGTGCATGTTTTTCTACAATGAAGGATGAAGACAGCTCACTTCTCTTTGTTTTGTTTGGCTAAATTTTTAAAATTTCCCCTACATTTAACTTTCAATTAAATAGAATGAGTAATTTTCTTCTCCAGACTATTTTTTAGAATGTGTAATTTTGGTATCGAGACTATTTTTTAGAAGTATATTACCTCAAATATGGAATAACGGTATGAGTTTTTAACATGATGCATGGTATTAAACCGTGAAACGGTTAATGATTTTAAATATTTATAAGCAAAAGCATAAAAAATACACATTTTAATGAAGATGCTTAATTAGATATTACAGTAACTAAAGTTAAAATTTAATAATAATAGCTAAGGTACCAAAGGATGGGTGAATATTAGTGGGAGGCCTTCCATTCCCAAAAATCAGAATCACGATAAGGTCAAATATTGGCAAATCTACTGCAAAATTAAAAAAAAAAATGTGTACTTGTATATTATCTGTATTTTTTAATTTAAAAATGACTTATTTTTCCTACTCAATTCAAATAGGAAGTTGATAAAAAAAAAATTAAAAAAGTAGTTGTCTCCAAGGTTGGTGAATTGCCTTTTACTTAACCCAAATGCTTCGCACGACTTGCTTCTGGGAAAACAATAGCTCAATCTTATGAAGGATGATTAAAGTGTTTTAACGTCTATTCACTAATAATGCAAAAGTTTAAATTATTAGATTATTTAAAAGCTACATAAAACTTCTTAAAGTAAGCAATATTATGTAATTTGCAAGCAACAACTCTATTTGTTGTATTACTCTTTTTTTTTTTAGTTTGTTTAAAAAAGAATTGCTAAATCTTGACAATCTTCTCTGGATATTTTGATAGTCAGTAGGTTTTTTCTACACATATTTCAGATATTTTGATATATTTTACATATTTTTAATTGAATATTACAATTTTTTTGAAGTATTCTTTATGAACTCTCACCTACCATGCCTACCAACACAAGTAGTGAGATTCAAGAGAATAGAGGAATACACTCTCTGCAAATTCGCCTACTTCCAAATTCAAGCACGAGAAATGGAATCTATAGGAGTGTTAATGACATGCCCAATGTCACCATACCTTGAACAAGAGCTAGACAAGCGCTTCAACTTTCTCCGGCTCTGGAAATTCCCCGAAAACCAAAAAAGCCACTTTTTGAAGTTGCATTCAGATTCCATCAGAGGAGTCGTCGGAAACGCAACAATCGGAGCTAATGCGGAGTTAATCGGAGCATTACCGAAGCTGGAAATCGTATCAAGTTACAGTGTGGGACTGGACAAGATCGATTTGGGGCATTGCAAGGAAAAGGGAATCAAAGTCACTTATTGCCCAGATTTGATCACGGATGACGCTGCAGATACTGGAATTGCTTTGATTTTGGCGGTTTTGAGGAGACTTTGCCGATGTGATAGCTATGTTAAGATTGGCCTTTGGAAGAAGAACGGTGATTTCATGTTGACGTCCAAGGTCAGTCTCTTCTGTCTTTTTCTTTAAAGATTTTTGGGCCAAGTTTCAATCTGGTCCAGCCCTAACGTACGTAACTACGTATTATATGTGTTGGGAATTAGATTCTGAAATATGGGCCGGTGACTGGCCTACCATACATTTATTTATGCTCTGGTTTATACTTTGAATTTATCCTCATCGTTAAAATAAAGTTAAATTTACCCTCCAATTACTAATTTCACCAAAATTACTACTCATTTGACGGAATTCCCAAATTGACTTAAATGACCCGAATTTTAAGAAAAACAATATTCCCTATTTTTAACCCAATGCCCCGACCATTCTAGAGGATAACCCATTCCCCTTTTACCCATTTGTTTTTCCATATAACCCATTAACTTCTCCTCCATTGTTCTTCATTTCTCTTCCCCTCTAATTGTTCTTCCACCATCTCTTTCGTTCAACATCGACAGTGGTTGTTTTGCTCCATCAAGTCCTCCACGTGCTGCCACGTTGTTTTATAGTGCACCTTCTAGTCCTACTCGGATTTCCCGTCTTTATGATGATTCAATTGGGAAATGTTGGGGTTTTGCCCTGATTTTCTTTCCTTATTTGAAGTTTATTTATTTCCTTAAGGAAAAGTCAAGTATTACCATAAATACTTGAATTTTTTCTGAAAGGAAAATATAATTTTCTTCCATAATTGGTTTATTCTTTCCTTAGAGGAATAGTTTGGAGATCTATAAATTGAAGATTCCTATTCTCATAGCATAGCACAATAGAATTCACAATGTAGTCGTTTAGTGAGTTTTGTTTATGGAGAGATTTAATCTCTCAACAGTTTTAATATTTTTCTTTATATTAGTTTTCATATAATAATATTAGTTTTTAGTATAAGTTTTTGTCATCTAATTTATCAATCATATTATTTGCAATTGTAAGCTTCCACATGACGCCCTAATCACCCTTCAGAACCCAACAGGAAGAAATCCCAAAAGAGAAACATAACCCTGATGAAGATTCTGCTTTTGATTTTAGTGGGCAATAGGAGAGGATTTTGCTATTTGCACCTGATGAGCTCTTTGATTACAGAAAGATTAAACCTTTGAAACCACCTCCAAGGTTTCAGTACAAAGGAAAACACATGGATTCTCCAAAATCCCCGAAGAAATTGTTCATGGAAACATTTTCTCCTCGACACAAAAAGAAAGATTTTAACCCATTTGTTATAGCTTTACAAAAACAGAGCCGAATAGAGAAACCCCAATAAAATTCTTCAAATTTATCACCTTTGAAAGTTTCCGACTTATTATTTGATCACAAAAGCAATAAAGAAAACACGAAAAAATCTACCTCTATTTCTTCTTCTTCATCATCATCTTCTTCCTCCTCTTCGTCTTCTTCAGTTTCTTCAATGATCTCACTCTAGTCCAAAAAATGGAAAATCAAAGACTTGTTGCTATTTCAAAGTTCTTCAAAAGGTCGACCAAGTAGTACAGAACAACTAAACAAGTATGAATTGTTGAAGAAAAATCAGTGGGGAAGATAAATGAAGAAAGGAGAAGTTAATGGGTTATAAGGAAAATTTGAGAGAATGGGTAAAAGGGGAATGGGTTATCCTCTAGAGGGGTCGGGGCAAGTTGGGTTAAAAAATAGGAAATAGGGTTTTTTTATAAAAAAATCGGGTAATTTGGGTCAATTTTGGGGATTTTGTCAAATGAGGGATAATTTTGGTGAAATTAGTAACGGGGGGGGGGAGGTAAATTTAACTTCATTTTAACGGTGAGGGTAAAGTCAAACTATAAATCAAAGTTGAGGGTATTTTTGACCCTTTTCCCTAATTTTATTATTTAATCAGCAATAAAGTATATCTAGTGTGTGATGCTAAGATATGTATTAAATTTTTAAATATTCTTAGTAAAATTTCTAATTTTACCACAATTATAAGTATAGATATTGAAAAATTCTATCCACTGAGGCTTAGAAAGATTGAACGAAGAATTTAAATTTGACAACTCTTCTTAATTTGAATTCACCTTATTGATCATTGGACTACATTCTTAGACGCAAAACCAAAAAAAGCTACTTTATCAGCTATAATTAAAAAAAAATATCATTCAAAATTTGAAGACTTCAGGTGCACTATAGATTTATTCTAGTGAATGATCGTGGGTTCTAATCCCTTATCTAACAGTTTTAATTCTTGCTAGGCCCAAATCCAGGTTGCTAGGGCAGATGCATTGGCCTGCACCAACAATACCAAGTATCATTCTATGCATTGTCACCACACATCTTGCGCAAGCGATCTACTCCTCATAGCAAAATAAAAGAGTCCACTAGTATCACTCCACACACAAGAATAAGAAAGAAGAAAAATGGAACGCATCGGAGTATTGCTGGCCTGTCCAATGTCATCTTACCTTGAACAAGAGCTAGATAAGCGATTCAAGCTCTTCCGATTCTGGAATGTTCCCCAGAAGAATGAATTCCTCAATCAGCACGCTAATTCCATCCGTGCTGTCGTTGGCAACGCATTCGCCGGCGCTGACGCTGAGCTCATCGATTCCCTCCCTAAGCTCGAGATCGTTTCGAGTTTCAGTGTTGGTTTAGATAAGATCGATTTGAACAAGTGTAAAGACAAGGGGATTAGGGTTACTAATACTCCCGATGTTTTGACTGAGGACGTGGCTGATTTGGCTATAGGGTTGATGTTGGCCGTCCTCAGGAGGATTTGCGAATGCGATCGCTACGTTAGGAAAGGGTTGTGGAAGAGCGGTGATTTCAAGTTGACTTCTAAGGTTCGCCAAGTTTCAATACATTTTTTGTTGTTCATTTTCTGCCGCTTTTATATTTCCTATCTTATGTCAGTATCCCATAGTCTGATGCCTATGAGAAAAGGCACATGTAATTGAAATTTTGATGCTTGAAGCAAAAAGATGGGAAATTTAGCTATAAATATACCAAAATATTACTGTATGCGAATTCTTGGTTTTACTGGTGTGCTAGAAATATATGCTTGTGTCTTGGAAATCAAGTTCTTCTACTTTTCCTATCCGCTTATATAAAAGAGATGAAGTTATCTATACCGTAGATGTAAATTCAACAGTATTGGTTCCTATGTAGGATTGAATTGTGCCAAGTATGGTTACAGACAGACAAGGCATCTTATTCTTTGTATTAATTGATATTAATGTGCTTGAGGCCAATGAAGTATCTAGTGGTTATCTGGATTTCATAGCTTTTGTATTGTCAGTTGTCACTTTGTTTTTGACATGAAAAATATGAAGAATGCTAATGGATCCTGTGTAAAAATATAGGTTGTTGAGTCTTTGCTGTAAATTCTCTCATTATCTGGTGTTTCTTGATTTATCTCAGGGGCTTATTGTTTAATATTGACCTTTGTCCTTTTTAACTATTTGATCATTCACTGCTATGTCTAAAAAGCTTCTTTGCTTCAATAGCACATCTGTGGCAATATGAATATCCTTGAGTTGCTCGATGTTTTAGATGAGCTCAACAGTTGTCCATAACTTGTGGTCATTTTAGAGGAGCTATTCCATAATAGCCTTTTATTGTTGCATATTATGTTTCAGCTTGATGTACTTCTAATTATTGTATTGCTGCGAGTACATGCAGCAAATTAAAGCAATTTTTCATTTGGATAATTGATATTAGTACCAGTAAGTCTTTGGCTAGCGGAGAACTTCAGTTTCCTTAGGATGAAACTGTAAATCATCTTATATCACCATCTTGGTTGTAAGTAATTATCTTGGAGGTGGTTCCACATTAATTGTGAGAAGCTATGGCCACTATACTAGAAATTGCTGGTTGTTCTTAATAGAACTTTTTGGAGCCTTTTTCTGCAGTAACACTCTGGTTATATCTGGTAAATGAACTGAGAGAAATGCGATCATATTGTTCATCCAATGATGTATTTACCAGAGATTCACTCATATTCTTAATGTTGAACCCATAAATTTCTAAGTTATTATTTTCCCCAGACCCCACATTGTGGGATTACATTGGGTATGTTGTTGTATTTGGCTAAATTGTATGAAATTTTGACCACTGGGATGTATTTTAATCTTTACCTGATTGCCTTGCATCTCTTTTGCAGTTTAGTGGCAAATCAGTGGGTATTATAGGATTGGGAAGGATTGGCTTAGCAATTGCTAAGAGAGCGGAGGCTTTTGGCTGTCCAATTAGTTACTACACGAGATCAGAAAAGCCAAATACAAATTATAAGTATTATCCAAGTGTAGTTGAGTTGGCTTCCAACTGCCAGATTCTGGTTGTGGCATGTGCACTAACTCCTGAGACTCGTCATATTGTCAACCGTGAAGTCATGGAAGCTTTGGGATCAAAGGGGATTCTGATTAACATTGGCCGTGGTCCTCATGTTGATGAAAAGGAGCTTGTATCTGCTCTTCTTGAAGGCCGATTAGGGGGTGCTGGCCTTGATGTGTTTGAGAATGAGCCTGAAGTACCAGAGCAGCTTTTTGGCCTTGAGAATGTGGTCCTATTGCCTCATGTAGGCAGTGGCACAGAGGAAACACGCAAGGCCATGGCCGACCTGGTCCTTGGGAACTTAGAAGCTCACTTTCTGAACAAACCGCTGTTAACTCCAGTGGTTTAAGTATACGAATGGCTGCTAATAATTATTGTTTAGACCTTACATTTGCTGCAGCAACTAGGTTCTCACTTCACGTAGGAGCACATTGTCTCCTGAACTTTCGACCAAATATTTCATGATTGTTTGAGTGTTTCAACTTGCTGTCACTGTTTGTATCTGACTATTTTCCATTTTATGTCTCCGTAACGTAATTAATACTTTAACAATAACAACAGTGACGGTTTAATGGGAGAGCTCAGTAGAGAATTCATGATCAAACTGGCAGTATTGTCGGGTGGAGACTGGAGAGGCCTTCCTGTGATAGTTTTACAATGATGCGGGGAAAATACTGTTACTAATTCAGATTGTCGATCCAATCTTGAAGATTGACGCTTGCTTTGAATATTTTAACTTTTTTTATTCAAACTTTCTGGGTGTCATCAAATTATTTGGAAATGGACTAGAATTTCGTTGAGAACTCCCCCAACTTTCGTGCCAATTGCACTATATATTGTTTTGTTAAGAGCACAATCTCCCTTTCTTATATCTGTAGCTAAATTTGATATAGGTAAATCCTTTCTGTTAGCCCTAAGATCGTTATTGAAAAATTCGATGAGGGGAGAACAAAGATTTTAGACAACACCACCCTTATTTTATAGGTATTTGTGTAAGGATAAATCTATGATATTCCAAAAAACCAAACTTTTTCAAAGAGAGTTCCTTTGGTCGGACTACATTTACAAATTTGCTAGGTCGGTTTTTTTGTGGTGGTAATCAGAAATGGATGAGATAGTAGGGGTATTATTGATGCGTCCATTGTCCAATTACATCCAACAAGAGCTAGCGAAACGTTTCACACTCTTCAAATACTGGGAAATTCCATCTGAATCTCTCAAACTGCACTCGGACGTTATCCGAGCAGTGGTGGGGAATGGAGTTCAGGGAGCCGACTCTGCTTTAATTGATTCGCTGCCTAGATTGGAAATTGTATCGAGTCACAGTTCTGGGCTTGACAAGATTGATTTGGTGAAGTGCAAAGAGAGAGGGATTAGGGTCACTTCCGCACCCGATGGTCCCACCGACGATGTTGCAGACACGGCTATTTTACTCACAATCGCAACTTTGAGGAGGATTTGTGTAGCTGATCGCTTCGTCAGGAATGGGATTTGGAAGGAAAAGGATTTCAATTTGACCGCTAAGGTACATTTTTTGGCCTTTAGGTCCAACTTTATCTCTCTACTTCTGATTGTAATTCAAAATTATCCTCCATTATACTTCATGTTGGCTGTTTCCATTAGGGCTAAGAGACTATTTGCTAACGACAACGATATGAATGACCCCGAAGTGTTACGTGCAGATAAAATTTGGATATTTCGTATACAGAAGGTCTTCTTGACCATTTTTTCCCTTAATTAAAGCTGGTCTGATGCTATATATTGAGCCCAAGGAACATTACCTGCTTCTCATGATGATCTTGTGTATTTTGAACCTATCTTATCTTAGTTTGCTCTTTATTTTCCTTTCAGTTTAGCGGCAAATCAGTAGGCATTGTAGGCTTAGGGAGAATTGGTTCAGCAATTGCCAAGAGAGCTGAAGCTTTTGGATGTTCAATCAGTTACCATTCACGTTCACAAAAATCAGAGTCAACGTACACTTATTATTCACGTGTTATCGACTTGGCCTCCAATTGCCAGATCCTTGTCGTTGCTTGTGCCTTAACTGATGAAACTCACCACATCATCAACCGTGAAGTTATAGATGCATTGGGTCCAAATGGAGTTGTCATCAACATTGCAAGGGGTTCTCATATTGATGAACCTGAGCTGGTGTCTGCTCTTGCAGAAGGCAGGTTGGGAGGAGCAGGGCTTGATGGTCTTGAACATGAACCGGAAGTGCCTACGCAACTAGCTAGTCTTGATAATGTTGTACTATCACCTCATACTGCAGCAGGCACTGTGGAGACCCGTAAGGAAATGGCTGATCTTGTCATTGCAAACTTGGAGGCATACTTTTCGAACAAGCCATTACTAACTCCTGTTCTTTGAGACTTTCTGGTAAAGGTCTGATGATCGTGGAAGTACTAGGATGGGTGATCCCCGGGAAATCCTCATGTAGTCGTGTTGCCTCCCTCCTTTTGAGTTTTGGATCCTATTCATGCAAAGACTTGGTTATTTTTGGTTATAAAGAAAAAATCTGATGATCTCAGACTTGGTCATCATTGATTCTTCTACTTTCATATGTCGTTTTGTAACATGCTAAGTATGTAATGAATCTATGTTGCTTGGAACATCCAAAAATGTTGTCACACTCTTGGAGGATCTGACACACAACCAACAGTAGTTTGAAGAGTCTATTGTTGCTAAATGCCAATGAAAAGGTTGATTTGTATAGATGATTTTGTTCTCATACTGGTTCAAGCCTTCAAGGTAATGTAAAACTTGAGCCCTTGTACCTGTTGTTTTCAGATTCTCAGAAAGAGCAGGTTTGGATCCACCACAGATGGATGTGCTTGCTAACACCTCAAGAGGAAAATATAAATGAACCTGAACCATGCCAATTGGTTCCAAAGTGTGCACAAGTTGGTCTAGATACCATCATTATTAGAAGTATAATATAATCAGTGTAATTCATATTTCAGAAATCTAACTTTTCATTCCAAGTGGCGACAAATTCTGTCCTCTTTAAGGATTCAAAAATTTCTCCTTGATATGTATTGAGAAAGCTCTTTGATACAATGGGCATGAGTTTAATAAGGGAAACAAGATATGCCCATATTCATCTCATTTAACTTGTGCAATATAAACTACTAGCTTGCATCTGGTGCATGCGGAAATTGGCTAAAAAAATTACAAATTCCCACAAGTCATAACAATGAAAATTTTAAGCTAAAGAGTAATTACAAGTCCTGTTTTCACAATCAAAAGCTCATTAAGTAGAAGTGGCTCCTTTGAAGATGAGGAAGTTAAGAGTCTCCAAGGTGAAATAGATAAATGTTCCTTTAGTATGAGTGAAGAAACATCCAAATTTTGATCCCACCACACACTGCCAGCCACCCCCATATTTCTTGTCAAACTCCTGCATATATACAACCAATAAACTTTCATAAAAAATTGAATGAAAACTCGAAAAATTTACTACTTTTTATTATATCTTTTAACCATTTTCCACAACATTCACGTCTCAATCTGTGTGATTGTCCCTCTTAATTATATCTTTTTTCCCTCACGTGTGAAGAATCAAGCACGTAAAAATTCTTTGATAACAAATGGATTAATGAATTGCAGTCAAAACATTTGCATACTAAGAAAATGTATCTTTGACCTAATTCAATTCTAAAAACTAACTCATAATGTGATAAAATGGCAACAACAACAACAAATCCGGTGAAATCCCCGTGGTCTGGGCAAGTTAGAGGATATGCAGACCTTACCACTATCTCACGAGGAGAACAACTCATTCTCTCAATGAAACACCCTGCACTTCCAGGATTGGACTGGAAGGTGTATGAACATAATTTAAACAAATAACATTCCCTAAACAGTTTAAACTTTTAGATTGGTCACACAACTCAGTTCAAAGACACGCAGATTTACCTTCTTAATATGAGCAGCAATGGATCTGTAGTCCAAAACATCATAAACATCCAAAGCTTGAGAAGCCCAACGCATAGCCTGGATCTGCATCTTCACTGGCATATCTGTATCTTCAATCACACCTTTTCCTTCTAACATTTTGGTTTAATGATCTGAAGTAGAAATCCCAATTTATACACTATTTTTGTTGTTTAAAAGTTCAAAATTAAGATATGAAGGAATGAATCTTCCCCTTTCTCTTTCTCTTTCTCTTTCTCTAAGCAAGAATAAGAAAAGTCGAGAGACAGGAACACTAGAATTGATTTTCCAAATCCCCTTTTTTCAGCAAATGTTTGTAATGGTGACTATATTTTATAAGCATCTTGGTGCTGACACATACCACCGTGTCTTCTTCCTTACTCACCTAAAACACATTTAAACGTTGTTCTATTTTTTGAATAGTCTCTCTCTTTGTCATGCCCTAGTTGGACAATGATAAAAGCTGATAAGGACAGACACAGTCTCCGAAGCAGCCTCGATTAAATTTAGATCACACTGCATGGCTCATTAGGTGTATGAATTTTGTCATATCACCTAAGACTTTAATTACACGCTGTTTGGATTATTATAATCCATTATTTCATAATGTACTGTATTGTAGTGTACTGTACTGTATAATAGATATAATGTTTGACTAGACGATATTGTTTGTTGTTGTTTAAAAATATTTTTATTGTTATCGTACTGATATTGTAATTTATAAATTTACTAAAATATCCTTAATTATTCTAGGGTAGGAGGTTTGACTAGAATTAAATAATATAGGTTAACGGGTAAAAAAGTATTATGAAATATTATGTAAGGATATAATTAGAAAAATAAATTAAGTAACAATGGGAACACACCAAATCGGTTGTTCCATGAAATGAGTGTTTTCATTATTACGTAACAGTGAAATTTAACAATACAATACATTTTAAGTAACAATCAAAACAAACATCGTAGGTATGGTAACACGATACAATACAATACAATAGGTAACAATGATCCAAATAGAGTGTAAGAGTGAAACAGTATCACAACTGCACTAAAACCCATGTTGGTAATAAGGACAACACTTACATCTTGTTTCGTCCTGATATTTTGAAGTTAGAAGTTTAAAATTTGAAACTCAAAGAGTTGTAGTTATGCTTGGACATATATTTTCTTTAGATATTTTTGAAATTTTAGGTGTGCAGAATTAATTTTTGAAGACTTAAAAATATTTAATATCAAAACAAATTTCATATCAATCAGGTATTTGACAATGAAATTTTCGAACCAAAATCTATTAATAAATGCTAACTTAATCGTGATTTCCATATCTTTTTCTTTATATACTGACTGAATCATCATTTATTTTTTTTTAAAAAAAGATCGCATATTATGCTGTTACAAGATTTTAAACTATGATTGTAATAAAATAAAAAAATTGGAGCTTTAATTTAAATAATAGAAGTACCTCTTTTTTATAAAAAATTATACCACGTTGTGATTTTTTTTTTTATATCCACGTTGTGATTAATAAGCGCTATATTAATTTTATTTTAAGACACTTGAGATAGTTATTCAACTTAATAATCCTTTTTGTTTTATAGTAATTTAAATCAATCACTGTAATTCCTTAATTTTACGTTTCAGCTTTGGTAAAACTTATCCCTTCAAACTTTCCAATTTTCTTTCTTCCACAGAACAATATTCCCACTCAATAATTTTTTATTTTTTATTTTTTTTTGCTAATTTTAGTCACCTTCTTCTATTAAGAGAACTATTCAATTTGTCATTCTGCGTATGTCAATTCTATTTTAAATTAGGCAAATATTGTAAGAAGTGTTCAATTTATTTTGTTTCAATGCTAATCCTAATTTACCAATAAAAGAAAAAAGTTAAGAGAACCCAATCCGTCAAATGTCAAAAAATTCCAAGTGCGTTGTATCTTAATTTATACCAAAGACAATTTTTCCCCCCCTACTGTTTATTGTTTCTTCATTTATTTTTTTCAAAATTGAGAGTAAGGAAAAGAGCAAATGAAAAGTAAGACTACAGGATGAGAAATCAAATCATCACGGATAAAGTGAAAAAAAACATGGATAGTCGACTATTAGAACTATTAATATTCCAATTAATTATATTCATCAATTTACACTCTTTTTGTTTTTATTATAGTATCCATTTAAACAACCCATACAACGCAACCCACTAAAAAATTGACCCGCCCCGCTTTGTGAGTTAGGATTGACCCGCCCCGCGTTTTCGCTGAACTCTGTATAGCTGGTACGTACCCGCTACTCAAGTCATACTACACCATCCTTGACGAAAAATGGAAGTTATTCAGTGCTTTACAATTTCGTCCATGAAAATATCCTTTCATCTCTAGTATCTGTACTGTCACCTCAACTGTGAAATCTCCTCTCTGTTGCCGGCGACAAAATGAGGGTAGTGACACCGAAATCCCCATCACCGACACTACCCGCCGATCAAAACCGCCTGACGTCTACCCCCGTAGCAGTATCCGCCGGCGGCGTAAGAAACCAAGATGCTGAATTACTCTTCCGTACAAAGCCAATTGCTGAAATCCGAAATGTGGAAGCGGTCACCAGGAAACAGATCCAAGACAAGAGCGAAGAGCTTCGGCAACTCGTCGGCAATCGCTATCGAGATCTCATCGATTCCGCTGATTCCATTGTTCTAATGAAATCCTCATGTGAGTCAATTTCTGCCAATATAGCCGCGATACACCACGGCATTATTCATTCTCTCTCTTCCACCGTTGCTGAATCCCCTAAGTCCGTTGTTTCTTCTGACCCTGCAAAAGCTCGGATTTACGGAATTGCCTGTAGGGTTAAGTATCTTGTTGATACGCCGGAGAATATCTGGGGTTGTCTCGATGAATCAATGTTTTTAGAATCTTCTGCACGTTACGCCCGTGCTAAACACGTTCACCATAGTTTGCATAGAAATAAGGATTACAAAAGTGTACTGTCCAAATTTCCGTTGCTTCAGCATCAATGGCAAATTGTGGAGAGTTTTAAATTTCAGATCTCGCAGAAAAGCAGAGAGAGATTGTTGGATCAAGCACTTGGCCTCGGGATAAAAGCTTATGCGGATGCTTTAGCTGCAGTTGCTGTCATTGATGAGCTTGTTCCCAAACAGGTTCTGACATTATTCCTTGATTCGCGTAAATTGTGTATTTCTCAGAAACTAAATGCATGTTCCAGTGGTAATGCTACTAGCTCCGATGTGATTTTAGTTTATTGCGAGGCATTAAAGATTATTCAAGTTACTGTGGGTCAAGTAGGAGAATTATTCTTGCAAGTGCTAAATGATATGCCTTTGTTTTATAAGACTGTATTGGGTTCACCTCCTGCCTCTCAATTGTTTGGTGGAATACCTAATCCGGATGAGGAAGTGAGGTTGTGGAACTCATTTAGAGATGATCTGCAATCACAAATGGTAATGTTGGATAGGGATTTCGTTTCGAAGGCATGTTCTGATTGGTTGAGGAATTGTGGCAAGGAAATAATGAACAAAATCAATGGCAAATACTTGATCGATGTTATCAGCTGTGGAAAAGAGCTTGCATCTGCTGAGACATTGGTACGGGAAACCATGGAAAATAAGAAGGTCTTGGAAGGGAGTTTGGAGTGGCTTAAGAGTGTTTTTGGGTCTGAAATTGAGTTGCCATGGAAGAGAACACGTGAGCTTGTCTTGGGAGGTGATTCGGACCTGTGGGACGAGATATTTGAAGATGCTTTTGTTAGAAGGATGAAAGCAATTATTGATAAAGGATTTGATGAGTTGAGTGGATTGGTTGATGTTGTAGCGTCAGCGCGGGCCATCTCAGGAACTCCTGGTGAGCAGGTCAGTTTTCAGGCATACTTGAATAGATCTTTAAATGGTGGAGGTGTTTGGTTCATGGAACCAAATGGTAAAAAAGTTACCACCATTCCTGGTGCCAAGTCACAGCAGCCCGAGGAGAATGATTTTCGAAGTTGTCTCAATGCTTACTTCGGGGATGAAGTCAGCAGGATTAGAGATGCTGTGGACAGCTGCTGTGAGAGTGTTCTAAAAGACCTGCTAAGCTTCCTGGAGTCTCCCAAGGCATCCTTGAGACTGAAAGATCTGGCCCCATATTTACAAAATAAATGTTACCAAAGTATGTCAGCTATACTAATGGAACTGAAGAGTGAGTTGGATGCTTTGTCTGATAACCTTCAAAACAAAAACTCAATGGACGAGTCAGTGCCAACACCTGCTATACTTGTTGAGCGGTCAATATTTATAGGGCGACTTTTGTTTGCATTCCAGAAGCATTCCAGACACATTCCTGTCATACTTGGGTCACCAAGGTCATGGGTGAGTGAAACTAGAGGGGCTGGCTCGCTTAAGACCCCAACTCTTTTAAGGTACTCTATGCCATCTGTTGACTCCCCAACCTCTGATGGTCCTGGAAATACAATGTTTGATTCACCCAGAAGACAAAGTTCATTGGCTTCTGCTGCTTTGTTCGGAGTGAATGACAGTTCAAGCCCACAGCTTGAAGAGCTAAGTAAAATGACGCAAGATCTTTGCATCAGAGCTTATAATATGTGGATATCTTGGGTTTCTGATGAACTTTCAGTTATCTTATCCCAAAATCTCAAACAGGATGATGCATTGTTGGCAACAACAACCTTGAGAGTAAGTGCTATTCTTAAAACTGTTCTGGCTGGGTTTCCTAAAGGACTTTACATATCATTTTTATTCTTATGCTTCCTTTAGATGTTTGTTAATCATACCTGTATTATATTAGTCACTTCTGTCAGTGGTCCTGGTAATTACTTTGCAGCACTTGTTATCAAAGTAACTTGAAAATCACATCTTCTGATCCTGGATTTTGTATAATTTTCTGCTGATAAGTTTTATTATGAATCAATGGGCCCAAATAGACTGGAATGGATATAGAGGATTAGTATAGCTGAGACCCCATAGTTTAATACCAGGGGTAGTTAATTCATTAAATTTTAGATTAGGAAATGTTAAATAGAGAGCATCCCCATGGTTTAGCATCCTCTTAAATTTTTGTGAGGGCCCTCTCTATTTTTGAGGGCAATGCAAGAAAAAGACAGGCCTTAGGTTTCTGCTAGTTATGGTATAGGAACACTTGTTTGGTGTTTTCTTCATAGGAGGTTACTTAGTTTATAGTTTGGTAAAAAAGTTGTTTTTTTTAATCTAGTCAGGATATCACAAAAGTTATATAAACAGGCATGCCCTATACATCTACTGATGCAATTCTTGATTTCCTTTAAAAACAATAGGCGATTCTCAATTAATTTTGTATGACTTCTTATGCTGCATATAAAGTTATGTCACAAATTTATCAGGGAAAGAAAAAAAACATCAACTTTCACAAAGTCAGGGAG